AAAAATTACTATAAATAAAAATATTTATAAAATAGGATAATAATTTATTATGATTATCCTAAATTACAATTATATTATTATAGATTTTAAAATATATTAAAATATTAAATAATTATATTAATATGTGATAATTATTTACATAAATTATGATTAAATTATAATAATTATCTATAGGATTCTTTATAAAATTTTATATACAATTTTATTCATTAACACCAATTTTTATTTATATTATAGGATAATAATTTATTATGATTATCCTAAATTACAATTATACAATTATAGCATTTAAAATATATTAAAATATTAAATAATTATGTTAATATGTGATAATTATTTACATAAATTATGCTTAAATTATAATAATTATCTAAACAATTCTTTATAAAATTTTATATACAATTTTATTCATTAACACCAAACTTTAATTATTCACCATTTTCCAGTCAACAATTCAAAACATAAAACAAATGTGTCTACGTGTAAAACATGTACATTATACTAGTAATTCTTAAATAAGTATATTACTACGAACCTAAATGTTGACGTCAAAGATAGCAAACTCACACGGTTCCTCTAGTTTTTGAATACTAAAGCGATATACACATACTGATGTATCTTGTGCAGATACCAAAAATATGTTATCACATGGCAAACATCTAAAGTTGGAGTTTCTTGAGAGGTGCTAATCACTCGATAACAGATCACTAGAGCAGAAATATATTTCAAATATACCACTAAACAAAATGAAGCAAGAACAAAATGGAAGGGTATAAGAAAAAGGTTATTATTTAAATAACACTAATACACGTAAGCTGAAAGTTGAAATAAAGATAGAAAACCCTCATAGTCCCTCTAGTTTATTGAATATTATACCAGTACACACATATTGATTTATCTGTCTCGTTCAAATACAAGAATATGTGATCATGTTACAAAACATCTAAAGCTGGAGATCCTTGGTAGGTGGTAGTCACTCAATAACAGAACACCAGAGCAGAAATATCCAAAATATCACCAACTAAACAAAATGAGGCAAGAAAAAGATGTATACATGCAAGGATACGGTATTTTTTGTGTCCATACATGTATGCAGATAATGGTTTGTTGATCATGCATTGTCTAGCATGCAAAAATTTTCGCCATGGTTACCAACGACAATTGTAAAATACAAATAATTCAAGAAGAAAAGTATACAGAATAATACCTTGAAGGTATCGAAAAATTCCACCTGCAAATGAAAAACAAGGAAACAACAGATCAGATAAACCAATAAAGAAGTTTCAGGTTAGCAGAAGCACAAAGCTCAAAAATAGAGTACCTTTATTAAGTTTAGAATAAAATTCTACTAACAGGGTATTACCTTTAAGTACATTGAAGAATGAAAACAAAGAAACATTACTTGGTAAGATTTAAAATTTGACCAACCTCCACAGAGGTGAATTTCAGGTGTAGAGTAAAGGAAGAGAACCAGTAGAACGAGAATAGAACATACAGAATGCAGATTGTGCCAAAAAAACCGAGAGAAATAAGGTATAGTGCATTGATGGACAAATATGCCTCAATGTGATCAATTGTGCAACCTGGGATCACTCAATCATTCATCACCGCTAGATAAAGTCAGTGAGAAAGGGAGTGAGTCAATTTGAGGAAAAAATTGTTTACAGAATTAAGCAGGATGGTTGAAATGGAGGCCTTCTGGAGTATTATCTGATCATAGGATAACGATGAAATTGAACAAAAACTTGTATAAGATGATTAAAGGCTAGTCCGTGCTTTGAGGATCAGAATCTTGGGTGATGAGAAAAATGTCAGAGAAATGATTTTCGATGAAAACGGAATACTAAGATGGATGGGTGGTATGTGGTAAATATATGATAATGAATAGGCACATCAGCAATAAAATGAGGTTGAACTAGTCAAATATGGATCCAGAAATATACAGCAAAGATCAATATGTATGCCTGTTAAGAGCAGTGGTAAATCCTAGTTGACGAAGCCAAAGAACTAGGATAGACCCAAAAAGAAACATAGGTCAAGGGAAGTAAAAAAGAACACAAGTATTTGTTAACCAACATAATAAATAAGGCAGTCTTTAACAGAAGCGGCAAAAGAACTCAAGTATATTTTCGTGTTCTGAACAATACTTAGGCACAAAAATATAATCACGTACAATGAGGTGATTGTGCTAAACTAACATGTCACATGGATACTTCGATAAGTGAGATCTACTTGTCTCTGATATGTATCCAGTACTTGGATACTCAGGTAGCGATTGGATATTTGGCAGGTACTTCTATAATAAATCCAGAAAGTTAATGTATCCCAAACATGTTATACATGTCAGAACTGTATCTGAAACTAAGGAATAAAACATCAAATTCTCAAATGATAGTTCACAATTTCATTTGACTTGTAAATGCAATTATATAACTCCTTCACTTTCTTAATTTCATAATCCTTCATATCGCCTGAGTTTTTTCTTTTCTTTTCTTTTTTAACATATATCACCTGAGTTATTATGTCTTTCCAACCACTATACTGTTATCAATTCCTTTTAAGGTATATATAATATTATAAATTTTTATTGTTGTATCCATAATGTATTTGTATCCTGGAGTGCCAGAACTTGCTATGTTTGCGTACTAGTGCCTTATCATAATCGTATCACCCGCCTATAATAGTGCAACCTAGGATGCAAATAATGTTTAACTATGATCGTGGCTCACAACAAAGGTTGATATTTACGCTAACTTCACGCTACAGTCAATAGACCCAATACTCATGGAAGCCTGAGCAGTTTGAGGATGGGAAAATATATACACTCATAATATTTGATTGATTTTACGCCATAAACCTTCTACTTGAATAATGTGTTAACTTATTTTAAGTTAATGGCTGTCTAGCCTCATAAAGTGCAAACCATGAGAGAATTTCTTGATGTTTCCATGTGGACCATTAGGTGTCCCTAAGTCTTTGGTTATTATAAGCATTAGATCCAATATAAAACAAGAACCATCTTCCTTAAAGCATTCCTCTTCCTTAAAGCATTCCTCTCCTTCTCCTTTCCATTCTGTCTCCTTCTCCTTTCTTCTGGCCTCCTATTGTTCTCCCTCTCCTTCTCCTTTCCATTTCAAGTGGATAAATGTTCAAATAGAACACAAGGGACATCACACAAATCACCACACATGGATAGTAGAAATGTGGTCATGCTTCTATTTTAGATTGAGCAACCATCATGAAATTGATTCAGCATGACTGTATATTTAGCTGTATATAACAAAACCTTCTATGCCCCATAAAGAGTTAACAAACTTATAATATATACATGAAGATGTCTGTCAAGTGCAAATTTGGTCGATAAATACTGAAGATGATTTGTGAACTCACTACGGATACTATGTTAATATTCATGTTATCTAAGGAGACAACAGCTTGGATACATTGGACTTCACAAGAACCTCAAATTATCTTGTAGATGGAAGATAATGATTAAGCTGTGATTAAGAGCATCCACATGCATCAGATTACTCAATGTTTTCTCCTATTAGGATTCATGTCCAGATAGGAGCCATACCAACATGATAATGTATCAGATTTAATATTGCAGATTCAAGCCTAAAAATTCACAGGAAGTAATTGGGTGGTTAGCAATATGCTACTCCATTTTCCACAATAGGCAATTTATTCTTCTTCTTCTTCTTCTTCTATTTCTCCTCTGGTAGAAATTTTATTTTTTCACGCAAACAATATTTTTCCTATTACTTTTATGTCAGAGTTATAATGATCAAGTTATAATGCATTTTGAGTAGTTCACATTTAGGAATGCTTTCATGTATATTGCATGTTGATGAAATTTGGACTAGCCCTTAATGAGATCATAAAGCATGAAGTTCCTAATGGGACCACAATCTTTAATCAAGAATCATGCATGAGTGCTCATATTTATTCAGACAGACGGATGGACGCGTGCGCGCCCCAAGCATATTATGGAAAAAAGAAAGATTGGGCATGCAGACATAGTCAGACCTCAACATCCGTATGGAGGTACTTGAAGGTACTTGAATATAATCAGTACCTTTTGGATCAACATCCTTCTGAAAATTTGTCCTCTTAGGCTTGTCATCACCTTCTCCCAGATGGTGGTCATATTTATAACATAAATAACAGTGAAAATTGGCTCTAGGATATAGAGGACTGCAATCTTAGAAAGAAGTGTCCACAAAGGTTCTGTTCCTCTTCCTATCAGTATTTCAAAAAATTTACCTGCACAATTCAAAGCATAAAAAAATCAGTAGCAATGAAAGTTGACAATCACTCGAAAGTAATTAATGAATACAACTTTTTGATAATAAAGAAAATGTAAACTATGGTTAACATGGTCCAGACCATAATTATAATTAATAAAGACGACAAAAAATTGAAATCTTCTGATAAGACCTAATGATTATATCCACTGGTTCATGCTTCATAAGTAATTTAAAATCTCAATACTTATGTTAGATGTTGCCAGATGAAAAAGCTCGAGGACCAGATACCTTATGACCACATATGTTAAACATGAAAGAAGAAATTCGAAGATCTAGAGGAGGAATAAGCGCTAATGTTATGTGTTTCATCAACGATTATTTCATTGTGTCAAATGGTCCCCATATTAAAATAAACACATCAGGCCATCAAAGAAGATCTACAATATGAGATGCATAAATTATGAATTTGCCAGAAAAGGAAGCTTAGAATAATAGAATGCAAGATAGAATTAAATGCTACAAATTTTAAGTGATGCAAATAAATGCATGGATGCTTCAGCATTATACATTAACCGAGCACAAGACATGCAATGGAACATTGGTAAGCCCTTGGGTAGAAATTTTGTTGCTAGACCATTATAATCTAATCAATACGCGCAAGTGAACAGTGCACGGTTTACTGTTCACCTGTGAACAGTACTCCCGAGTTTGGGTTCGTTATTTTTGCTTGACAAGGGATTTGTTTTTTGAGGGGGGGATATGTTCGAAGGTGAGGAATAAAGAAGAGGGTATTCAATAAATAACTAGGCTCGACATCTAAAGGCCTCACACCCCTACAGCTTACATGTAAAAACTTAGTGATTCACATGCTATAGAACACTTCACACGCTCAAGAGAGAATTTTGAAACTCAATTTTGATTCATAACAGATCAGATCTATGAATTTTAAGGATTTTATATATTTTTTTCTGAGATTTTTTGTTAGAATGAAGTTATTATTTAGTTATTAGAGTTGTTGTTTTGTTAGGATTTATATTTGTTGTTATCCACTAGTTAGGACTTGTTATGTGTGCGTGTTAACTACAATTATTGGTTAGGAAACCTCCGATTCGCCTCTTTCCTCTTAGCAATTAATCCGAATAAATACACTTAGACAAAGGGGATGACCTTTTGCATTGGTGGGTGTTTGGATTGATTTCGTCTCATATTTGACTAAATAGGAGTCAAGTTGTAGATTTATTTAAATTTACATTCCCTCCCTTTACTAGCTAGGTTTCAGGGGCGGTTTTTTCTTGGTCTTTAAAAAATAGTGTCAGACACAACCTTATATTTTCTAGTTGCAACTAGCAAGTTAGTGATGCAAATAGTGACATAGGTACTGGCATAATGCAATGTTCAGTCAAGACTAGTACAAAACCGGCCAAAATGGGCGTCGAAGCTACATGAACCAGGAAGTGTAGTGACAGTCCCTTGACTTTTTCGACCAAAGTGGGAATCAATTGTGGGTTTATTGCATATTTATAATGTGTATAGTGTTCCTTCAGAACTAACTTAGGGCAAAGCGAAAACGGTAACGCTTGCTTGGAATTTGTAAGGGTAAGGGGGTGTTTGTTTAGTTGTAAGTGAAAATTGTAAGTATGAAAGTCACTTATTTTTTAGATTTAACTTGTTTGTTTTATTGAAAGTGATTATGAAAGTCACCTCAAAAAATTGTTCACGTAGGATATTTTTGCAAGTTGAACTTCTGCTATAAAATCGCAGAAGTGTAGCAGAAGTGAGCCGCAAGAGAAAAAAATGGGGCCCACGACACATTAAAAAAATTAATAACACATATATTACTAGTGTTCCGTCTTCAACAGCCTTATCCCCTTCTGTTTCAGATCCGCCTCTGTTTCTTCCCCGCGAACCCGCCCCCCCTTTATTTGACCTCTCAGTTTCAACAATGCCTCCAAATCTTCTCTCAATTTTGACCCTAAACTTTCCTCGCCTCTCCTCTTCACGCGAATCCCCCCCCCCCTTTTTTACCTTTTTAAAAATAATCCCACCAATTTTCCCCGCGTTTTTTCCCAAATTATTTTTCCCTCCATGTAATTGATCCAACTACCGTTTTGTTGATTTCTAGTATAAAATCTGCATCTTTTGTGGGATCAAGCTCAAAAAATTGAGCAGTGCGGTGAAGTTGAGGATTTTTGCCTGAGATCCTTAACAGAGGTAAGAATTTTCTCTTGACGTATGCGTTGGAGATCGTTCTCCTCTTCGATTTCTCACTCTATCTCCGCTTGCAGATCGGATTCGTCATCATCAAAGCTGCAGGTTCGTCATCGTCAAAGCTGCAGGTTAGGGTTTCACTCTCTCTTTGTTGCGTTTGTTAATTAGATGTCGTTGTTTCTCCCTTGAATTTGTAGATTATTGTTGCATCGGTCATTTAGGAGTTTAGATGAATTTGGGTTTGTGATCTCTGGGATTTACTTGTAATGGTTTTAGATATCATTATAATGCCATTATATTCAATTTCTTTTTTCTTTTTATTAGCTAACAAGGGTCACCAGAAGGCTATATACAAGAGAAGTTATTGCTATAAGCAATTGATTACTATAGGATATGGACCATCTTTCTAGTGTCATCTGTTTATTCATCTTATGAATGAATTCAGGCTATTGGTTATATAGAGGTAGCAGATTATTCATTGGATCAGTTGTTTAATATGTACCAACCGACTCAAAAAATAGCAATAATAATAATTAACACTAGTAATATGTCAAAAATAGTGGGAATTAGGAGTTTCTAAACATAGAAGTCTACAAACATTTGACTAGCTTATGGGTCACTCTGTTTGAAACTGAAGCTAGACATGTTGAAGGAACTAGAAATTAGAAAATCAAAAGCTTTTTTAAACTGGGTGGTGGCTTCAAGGAGAAAATTCTGAAGGCAAATAAAAAGATAGCAACTGAAGATATAGAAGTGTGGATCTATGACTCTCAAGTACTACTTGTTTAGATGGTTTGTTCCTTTAATTATTCACACCTCAAAGTCTAGTGAAGCTTTTGATAGTTTAAATTGTAACTCATAATCTGGATATATTAAATAATTGCTTGTCAAAATTTTGTTGAAATATATCTGTGATGTATACCGGATGATATCAAAATGTATGCATAACGACAGAAAACCAGCTAAAGGCATTCCTAGAAGTTAAAAACTCATTTACCAGGTCATTTCTAGCAATGCAAAGTCCTGAAATCACACTCAAGATGATGAGTATGCACATAGAGCACCTGACAGAAAATGTCACTCTCATAACATGATGTAGTTAGTGAGGGGTGTTAGGCTGAGTAGGAGTTGTATAATATTTTGTAAAGGACATGTTGAGCAGAATCCTAGTTGTGTCTGTAAAGCATCTGAACTTGGATATCATTTACAGTTGCATTTGCTATCATAGATGACCAACTTGTCCTTCCCTATCAACTCTTATGATATTAGTGGCACTTGTATAATGCAATCTGATTCTATTTCTGTACTTAATTTTCATGGATAACAACTCTTTCTGCTTGTTTGCTTTGGCGTTATCTTTGAAGTTTGAAATATTTGTTCCTTTGTTCTTATTTCCCTTTAATGCTGCTGTCATCTTTCTGTTTGTGAATTCTCCTTCAAAATCAATAAGTGTCTGCTGTTTGTAAATGGAAAATCTATCATGTTTTTGAAGGGTATATCATGCAGTTTTAGAGCCAAAAGTAGAGAGGCAAAGATAGAACCCTGATCTGATAATATTCGACAACTATTCGTGAATATTCATTAATAGTTTTTATCTAGTCTTCTGTGAATTATTCAGTTCATATTTGAACTAATTACTTACATTATAACAGTTACCTTATTCTTATTTTCAACTTATGTATAAAGTATATTCTTATTTTCTCTTTGGTTAATTGATATAGATGGATCGCAATACTCAACGTCGTCTTTTGTTACAACAGGCAGTAGCAGCTTATGCAGGAACAACTTGTGTAGTAGCGTACTATATTTTTTTCATATTAGATTGTAAGGACCACATTTGTCGAGAACCCTCTATGTACAGAGATCTACTTAGGAAAGTGCATATGGATAGAATATTTTATGGCGGGAATACAACATGCATAGATTACCTTAGAATGGCTCATGTTCCTTTCTTTAGACTAGCAAGTATATTTAGAGATAAAGGATTATTAAAAGACACTATAAATGTATCCATTGAGGAACAACTAGCAATGTTTCTGCACATAGTCGGACATAATGTAAAGAATAGGGTAATGAAGATTGAGTTCACTTCATACAATCAGGGGAGACAATTAGTCGATATTTCAATTCTGTATTGCGCGTTATTTGTGGTGTGAGAGATTTATTTGTACGACAACCTGGTTATGAAACGTCAGAAGAGATCACTTCCTCCTCAACTTGGTTCCCATGGTTCAAGGTAAATTCTATTCTATGAAATATGAGAAATAAATATAAAATAGCTTTATACGTTGAAATTGATACATTCACAAAATATATTGAATCTAAATAGTATTGCATGGGTCTCATTGATGGTATCCATATCGAAGTTAGTGCTCCGGAGGAAATTGCTATCCGATTTATAGGAAGAAAGGGTGGGACTACCCAAAATGTTCTTGCAGCGTGCTTGCCTAATAAGCAATTTACTTATGTTTTGGCCGGTTGGGAGGGATCTGCGGCGGATTTCACTGTCTTAAAAGATGCGTTGGCTTTAGAACCACCAATGGGTCTAAAAGTTCTGCCAGGTATACAAAGAACATAGTCAAATATTTTAAAATAAAATATTACATCACTAATGATATATTTTATTGAAATGTAGGCAAGTATTATCTTGTTGATGCAGGCTATACAATAATGCCGGGGTTTATTGCACCTTATCGTGCAGTGCGATATCATTTGAGAGAACATCATGGCAGAATACCCAAAAATTTTAAAGAACTTTTTAATTTGACGCATTCAAGTATTCGAACAAAAATTAAGGCTGCTTTTGGGATATTGAAAAATAGATTCAAAATCTTGTGCAGTCGTCCATTCTTTCCTCTTGAGACTCAAATTGATATAGTTCTCGCATGTTGTGTTTTGCATAATTATATCCTACAGAATGATGATGATGACTATTTTGCAAATTTAGCATATGAGAATGAAGCTAGTGAAGAAGAGCTCTATAGTGAAAGTCAATCCTATGTAACCAATCTAACTCAACGTGAGCAACGAGATCAGAATAGAATTTGGAATGAGAAGAGAGAAAATACAGCTCAAGCAATGTGGTATAATTACTGCCAAATTTATCAAACTGGAAACATGGAGGAGGGATAACTTACTAAAAAAAAGTAGTTTTTATTTTTGTTTATTCAATTGACTGTTGTACTTTTAGTGATATATTTTGAGCCGTTACTTCAAGAATGTTATTTTCTTTTATTTTTGTCTTTAGAACAATGTAGGAATTTGGTATAAATATGTGATCTTTATCTTTTGAGTTTAGTTAAATTAGATCAACATATTTTTTATCTTGTCATGCTATATGATCAATTGTTTCATATGTAAAATTTATAATTATGTTCACTTGCTTAGGACATGGCTGGGGCTTCATATAAAAACTTATGCCAAATGAGGTTAAGTCAAGATTCCACTGATTAGAGTCAAGGGATACCTGCATCTCTAAGTCAATTTGGAAGTCAAGCAAATCCTTTTACACCTATTCTCGGAGGAATCGGAGATCCCACATATCAAAATGCTTTGTATCATGCAATGTTTGTTGGTTCTCAAGAGATGATGAAACCACAATATAAGGAGCCAATTCGTATTGAAGATGAAGAGGAAGGTAATGCTATCCCTGATGAACCTATCTCTAAGAAATACAAAAAGAGTAAAAATGAAACAAAAGGAGAATGAGGTATGAAGTGCTGTGGAACTCCGAACAAACGCTGGAGCAAAGAGGAAAGTGGTTTTCTATTGGAATTTCTCGCTGAACAAGCTGCTAATGGAAACAAAAGCCAAACAACATTCAAAAAGCCCGTTTTAATTGCTGCTGTTGCTGCTGTAAATCAAAATTTTAACCAAAGTTTTACACTATTGAATCTGGAGAATCATCTTCGTGGCCTCAAAGCTAAGTGGAAGGATATTTGTCACTGTAGAGACAATAAGTGGAGCTGGTTGGGATGAGGATAAAAAAATGATAATCCTCGACGATCTCACTTATAAAACTTATGTGTTGGTATGTTGTCTAACCTCAATCCAAAGCTTTTTTTTAAACTGTTAACATATGAGATAACTTTTGCCAGGTTTGCATAGTTTTATCTGTCACATGCTTTTTCCTACTTATTCTTTCCTATTGTTAACATATGAGATAACTTTTGCTAGGTTTGCATAGTTTTATCTGTCACATGCTTTTTCCTACTGTTATTTTTTCCCACTGTTAACATATGAGATAACATTTGATTTCTATCTCATGAAAACTAATTTCCACCACAAAGTGCAATAGGCTACTATTTATTGCCTTAGAGAACGATTATAATTGGTCTGGCCTGACTGGTTAGCACTTGCTTCTGGACGTTTTCATTTCATAATCATCTCCCTCATTTGTCTGCCATCAATGAACAAAATGTCGTTGTCAGTTTGAAACACAATAACAATAATATGATTTAATCAATGCATTTTTATGTATAGAGGGGAAACAAATTAGAAAGTTCCAGATTTTTAGAAAAGGTTAAGGTATTCAAAGAAGCATATACCTTCTGATAAAGAACATGCATGTTTCTAAAATTAAATGGAAGAGATCCAGTAAGAATGACATAGAGGATCACATGCTTCTCAAATAAGTTTGTAGTATTTAACTGTTGCATATTAGGATGTAAGTAGCTCATTTAGTAATGGTCTGGTTTTCTATTCTTATAGTTGAGGTAACTGACAAAGACCATGAGTAATGTTATATACAAGTGTATTTCTTTTAATATGGTTGATAAATATGTTGTATTAAGATACTTGTAAGTTTCTTTTCAATATTAAACTTTCTCATAAATATAATATCTAATTTTATTTGTCATATTGCTTTTAGGCTCATGAAACAAGAAAGGCATATCTCAATTGTCCTATTCCATTTTATGAGGAGATGAAGATTGTATGTGGGGAGGATTTTGCCACTGGATCATTTAGAAAGAACATATATGATTCATTTGGAGACCACGACGAATCCAGTAACAAGGACATTAACGGTGGATTTCCGTTAACAATGACTGATGATGGCGATGTCGCTGATGGTGCTAATGAAAAGCAGAATGTCAATAATGGTACAACTCCTCAAAAAAATTGTAAGAAGGCTAAGCATCCAAAGGAGAATAAATCAAATGATTCAAAAAATGATGTCCAAGAACTAAAGGAAGGTCTTGTTTTCATTGCTAAAGCAATTGAAAACGCTACGCCTGAAGATTGGAGGCTTAAACTTAATAAGGTCATCATGGCGATTGAAGGGCACAACGAGGATGATTTGGATGCCGTTTATGACTATTATACAGATAGTGAGCATAAAGCGTTAACATTCATTGCAAAGCCTCCTACAAGACAAAAGAAGATTGTAGATGACTATATCAAAAACATGAAGGGCTTTAGTGAAATATGAGTTAGTATGTTTCCTACAGTAGTACAATGAGTTAGTATGTTTCTTACAGTAGTACTAGTTTGTTTGAAAGTAACCTGTAGTTTAGCTTGTGGAATTACTTTAGAGTTGATCGCTATTTACTTCAATTTAGACCTGTTTTCTATTTATTTGGAGTTTGATAAGCAGTATTAGTTGGTTTGGAAACTTTATTATCCTATGAATAAAATTGTAGTTTTTGTTTTGAATATTATACTCATCATCTTTGGTTGCAGCTATGGTTTGAAATATGTCAATGGCTTTGCTGTTTTCATTGAAGATAAGTAATTGGGTTATTTACATTTTGTACCTTGGATGTTCTTTGGTTGCAGCAAGTATTATCTTTGTGATTCTCGTTCCCATTTGCTAACATTAAAAAAGGATCATTACGCTAAAATTTATTAATGATTTTTCTGACCAAATTTTATCAGTGAGATTATTTTACTAGAACTATTCATGATGATTGCATAGTTTTGGGTATATATGTTTTAGGATTTATTTATTTTGTTAAATTACTGTTTATGACTACATGATGTCGGCCCTGGATATGGTTCAAAATGATAAATAGAGATGGGAAGCAATTTATATAAAAACATGATTTTTGATATATAATTAAATTAAAATAATGTTGTTACATCATCCTCACTTTTCTACTTTCAACAATAACAATAACTAGTTTTTGTAAACAAACAACGCATGTCACTTGTATGCTGACTTGGATGCGTTAACCCACTTAAAAAAAGTCACTTTCATACTTTCAACTCACTTACAACTAAACAAACACCCCCAAGCCTTTGCCCGGGTTTCCATCAGACACTATGAAACCGCAACAAAACTGTCTCCTTTATCCCAAATTATCTACCCACATAAAAATTCCGAAACTTTAGGGCAAATTTTGCAGAAATGCGGCCAACTCACCAGAAAATATGGGCATGGCAAGGGTACAAGAGGTGCATCCAACAAGAGAAGCCATTGATACAGCAATCCTAAGCTTATGCCGAGATAGCAGCGGCCATAAAACCTCCCAGCTCACCGCCTCCGTCGAAGAT